ATCTATGCCGAAAATAGGGAACAAGACTGTGGCATAGAAATTGGGAAAGCTCAGTAGTATACACTTATACAAAAGAAGAGATGCAAGAGAATGGGCAAATTACCAAGCCACTGCACTAGATCTTCACTCGAGCAATGTTTTACTTAAGAATGGAGTCCTAAGAGGAAATGACGAATGAACAGGTAGATTTCAGAAAAAGCAGAGGGATGTGACATCATGTAGCTAACATAAGATGAATAAAGTGGAGAGCAAGAACATTTAAGAAGCAGATTTATATTTGCTTTACTGACTACAGCAAGACTTCTGATTGTGTAGATCATGCCAGAATATAGAATATATTAAAGCTAATAAGGGTACCAGAACACCCAATTAGTCTTCTCAGGAATCTTTTTAATGAGCAGAAAGATATTGTACAAACTAGATGGACAAACAGTTTGGGACAATGTCATGGTACATATATCATGGTTTGGTATGTGTAACAGAGTGAGACAAAGATGCATGCTGTCCTCATATCTGTTTAATTTATGCAGTGAAGGTAAAAATGACAGGATTGAAAGAGATAAGAAATGGAATCAAAACTGGAGGTTGAAACACGTAACAATGAGACATATGCGGATGATACCATTTTGATAGCTGGAAGCAAAGACTTAGAAGAGTTCATTATGAAAGTAAAAAATGGAAAATTTAAAAATGTTAAATATAAAGATGTCAGTCATATTATATATTAATATAATGTCAATCACAATGCTTAGTGAATTCACAGCTGATGTCAGAAAAAAGAAGTGGTAGATAGTCTCCTTGGGCTCGGTAATAGGGCATGCTGGAGAAATAGAGATTAATTCCAGGGAGGATAAGAATAACAAACATTTATGAGATCATGAAATATTAGGGTATTTCGGTGACTAAATTAGAATAATTAAAGCAATAGTTTTCCAGTAGTAACATATAGCTGTAAATGTGTGAATATTTTACAGTATTTCAACATAAAATTACTGCCATATATAATTATTTCCACTTTTTTAGAATAAATTTGTTGGATTATGCCAGTTCAGACTGGAATTAGTATTGTATGCTGTTAACACTGCACTATCATTCTTTAAAGTGTTTAAAGAAGTGCCTGTTTTGTGGAATATATGTTTATCTGCAGAATAGAAGTTTTATATTACTATTTCCATGGATAACTTTATTAAGAGGATTTATAATATTCTCCATTCAAATCAAACTTGAGACAGAATTCTAAAGAAAACCACACTATGACAATACAAAAAAATTATGGGATAGAACCACATATTAATATTACAGTGTATTAAAATGCTTTAAATACCATACTGTCCAACTCAGAATCAAGCCTTTTTGAGTTCAGTTCTATAGCACTCAAAGTATGTGGAGCAACATTTTCCCAACTAGGTGCTCTCCACTAATAGGACTACAGCGCCCAGTATTCCAAACCAAATGGCTATTTACACCAGGATGGGAAAGAATATTTAAGATTTTTTTTCTTATGTTGCAACAGATTACTCTTTCTGCCAGTTTCATATGCACATAGTAGACAAAAAGAAATTAGGATAGGAACTCAAATTTACTAGTACTAAAAGGTAAACATGAGGCAATTAGTATTCAAGAATTAAGATAATTCTGGGATCTTAATTAGAAATAAAAAGCTGTTATTGAACGACCTTCTCACATATGGAATGCTTTTTCATTCAGAATACATACACTTCACTGAAAAAACATTTGCTCCCTTTGGATTTTCTGAATTTTTGTACATCTGTTACACCGAATATTATCAGAACTTCTTGTAGGTTCCAACAATATGTAAAAAAATATGAGTGAACAAATAATAATGTTTGTGCTAATTTCATTTCATATATCGGGTATTCCAACATGCAGTGTGTAATTATGTAGGTTCAGTCACTTCAGTCAAAGAGATAATTAGGACCAGTTGTCTGAGTACTTTATTAAACAGGCCTGATTTGGACCAACCCTGCCCTATATAAATCTATAAACTTTGGCCACCCTCATCCCAGTAAAGTTCACACTATGCATATTCTAGGGGTATATTGTGCACTATCTAGAAGAAATTTCTGAACACTTCCCTAAAGAAGCCATTGATGCTTTTCAATCTGGGAAATTTTTAAAACCCTGGAGTTCCAATGATCCCAAACCCTGGGCCACAGACCGGTACCAGTCCATGGTCTGTTAGGAACTGGGCCGCACAGCAGGAGGTAAGCGGCGGGCGAGTGAGCGAAAACAGCCGCTTTCCATCGCTCGTATTACTGCCTGAGCTCCACCTCCTGTCAAATTAGTGGCAGCATTAGATTCTCATAGGAGCGCAAACCCTACTGTGAACTGCGCATGCGAGGGGTCTAGGTTGTGCGCTCAGAATCCGACACTTATTTTACTCAGTGCATGGCCTGCCATTATTTTATTTAACACTTCTGTCCGTGCCTCTTTCCCGCACCGTGCGTTTGTCTCAGTCAGAGTTTTGATAAGCTCACAAGCTTTCTTTTTTTTAATCTGTTCAATCGTGTCCGATTCTTCAGAGACTGCCTGGACAAGTCCCTGCAGTTTTCTGGCAAGGTTTTTTCAGAAGTAGTTTGCCATTGCCTCCTTCCTAGGGCTGAGCCCAGCTGGCGGTCACAGGAGAGTCAGATCTTCCGTTGCGTCGTGTCTTTCCGATGTTCGCGTCTAGGCGGGACCAGCAGCCGATTCCTACCCCTGCGCAAAGCGCCGCCAGCGTTTCCTCCCACCAAAATAATAATAGAAATAATAATAGAAATAATAATAATAGAAGTAATAATAATAGA